CTTTCGAGAAAGTAACGCTAGTATTAAATTTCGTTTTCGCGAAAAACAGTTTCTATTAAATCTGGAAAAATACCACTTCGAAAATGCTTTCCAGTTTTTAAGCGACTTCAAGGAATTAAACTACTGTTTTTAAAAGCGATGAGAAAAACCCTTATGGTTCATGCCTCATTTCGCTTTTGTTTTACAAAAATGTACACGTCACTTTTGTTTTATCTTATATTTTGTGTTATTAAGTTATCTAGGCGTAAACATTTTTGTTATAAAATAGTCGTATTTCGTTATCTCTACTCAGACCTCTTGGACTGCCCCTAGACTCAAAATAATGAAATCATTTACAAAAAACAACTTTGTGGTTGACAACTATATCGTAGAAATTAGTTAACGGGTTCTTTCGTTTTTCTCTTTTGATTTGCCTTTGCCAACGTCGCACAAATATTTTGTACTCTTCGCATATTTTCCCGCTCTTTTTGTTGCTTTGTCTTCTGTCTTTTCCCGCCTCGCCTCTTGAGTTCCGGTGCCCGTCATTAAGCACTTTTACCTGCTTGTTTGTTGTGCCGATGCGCGTGCTCATGTTTGCGCAAATTCCCTCCTTTTTCTACATCAATGTCATGCCAACAAGCGTACACAGTGTTTGTGCATTTTTCTATATTAAGGTCATGCTGACGCGTGTGCACACTGTTTGCATTTCCCCGTCTTTTTCTACATCAATGTCATGCCGACTGTACACACTGCTTGCGCATTTTCCCGCCTTTTTTCTACATCGAGGTCATGCCGACGTGCGTCGAAGCGCTTTGAACATTTTTTGCGTTCGAAAATAATGAAGATTTGTAGTCCTTGACCAGAGGTTGTTTCAGGGTTGGATCTATGAGTTAGCCGTGCCCTGACTTAGATCAGCCCAGAGGTTGTTTCAGGGTTGGATCTATGAGTTAGCCGTGCCCTGACTTAGATCAGACCAGAGGTTGTTTCAGGGTATTGATCTGTGAGTTAGCCATGCCCTGACTTAGATCAGCCCAGAGGTTGTTTCATGTTATCGATGACATTTGAAGGGTTTTTTGATACAACTTGCAAGGCCAAAACAGTTCTTTAAAAAAATTATTACGGCGTGGTGCTAAAGTTTGTCCGCGATACTATGACTTTAAGGATATTTTTTTTCCTTTTTGTCAAATGTGAAAAAGCCAAAGACTGATTTWAAAAAAATAATTGTATAAGATATCCTCGCTAAAAAAGTTACCGCTTACCTCCCAAGTTTATACAAAAAAAAAAAAATCAACCTGCTCTGGGTGGTTTTTTCTAGCCTTTGGTAATATTATTTTTATCTGCAGTCGATTATAACACAAACTTAATTAGGCAGAGCACAATGCGGACCAATAAAACTATTAGGTTTGTCCTTTTGTCATTTAAGCAGGGGCGTAGCGATGGGGTCGGGGGTGGGGGAAGGTTGAATTAAAAGCGTACATTTTTCCTATTTCCTATTTTGTTAGGCTACCTGTGGTTTTGGCGGGAATATTCGCCCAAAAACGCGTGCGCTCTCCCCTCTAACTTCAGTACTTCGCGCGCTACTCCACTGATTATCCACGTTCTAATAGAACAGAAAATATTTACCATAGCTTCGTAAAATGGTGAAGTTTAAAAAAAAGTTTGTTAGAAAAGTGTGAAATTTGAAAGAAAACCTTTGCTAGTAGGTGTCTCTTGCCCACCAACGAATGATCTACCCAGAGGTCGTTTCAGTGTTTGATAAAATCTAGACTTCCATAGGAAAAAAAATTATCGCGGAACAAAAAAACGCCAGACCTCCAATACTGATATCACCCCCTGGACTTTTTTAATCATCGAATCYTTAAATAAGTATGAATATTTATAATTAAGGCCGAAATTTTTGTCTTAATAACTATTTTGGAAAAAAATGTACATGTACATTTATAATCTTTGGCAAATGAGTAATTGTGCATGTAAAATGCTCATWAAATAGCATTATGTAAAACTTTAAGTAGTTCGTCTTTTCTAGAAAATGTTATTGTTAATATTTCTATGAAAAAAGCAGTGAAATTATCATTTGAAAGCATACACAAAATTAGTATTTAGATTAAAGAAAAGAAATATAATCATAAACAAAGGCAAAAAAGTTAGTTTTATATCTTTCCGTTTCAGCAAAACAGCCCACGAATGTAGATCGATATCGTTAATAAAGCTTGTTTAATAACTGGGGCTATTGTTGGCGAAGAAGGACAAGAAAAAAGGTAAAACCAGCGAAMAATATAAAAGAAAAACCAAAGGTTAGTTTACAGTTAGTTAAGAGCCGCGTTTATATTTGTGTTCGCACAACGACGAGAATGAAACTGTTGTTCCGGCTTTCAAAAATAGTTTCAATAAGAAAGCGTTTTCAAACATCTGCGGGTTTTCATAAGTCATGTGAATAGAAAAATAACATCGCTTCGAAGAAGATTGACCAAATATGTCAAWWATGACGTTAAAAATGCTCAGAATCTAGATCTCTTCCTCTCTCCCTCTCTCCAGTAATGCCAGAACCTGTGAATACAATGTAACCGTATCATTTTCGACGTACAGTTGGTTTCGACTTAATAAAACGTTGTCATAGAAAAACCGTGTTTAAGTTAGCCAAAGTTTAACAAGTAAAAATCTTACAGTTTTTTGAGTACCAGCATTTCAGCTACTCAAARCCGACAAACTCACATTTTTACGAGTTAAGCTTGACAAAATACCCTTCTAAGAAAACTCTTTGACTTTGAATTTATTTTGTACTAGGGTTGAATTAATGGCTATCGCTCGTGAATAATAAGCCCGCAGCCGATAGCAACTATCTTAACTTATCTTAAAAGATCAGGTTACTCTCGACTTTAAAACCCAGGATTATATCTAGGCCTTTCTGGTTCGTAATGGGATGGAAGATGGATTTGAAATTCATTTTATTTTATTTCAGTAAACTTTAAGTTTAATTTTTAATAATTATCTATTCATTTTTTATTTATTTTCTTTTCTTATGTTTTCATTTTTATATGATTTACTTATTTTTCGTATTTTTAGAGTCACATTTCCTCCATCTTTTTCTAATTAACTTAAAAAAAGAAAAAAAAAAAAAAAAGCTGAAGTATTTTTGAAAAAATATTTTTGCGAGACAAGACAAATGAATTTTAATGTCTTCGCGCCAACAGCTAGGCAAAGTGACAAATGTTTTACTTAGACTTCTTTCAAAATCGAAGTGGTTTCACGGCAGTCATGTCATGAGGCATGAAAAAAACGATAAAAGCTTTCTCAATCTCTTGGGAAATGAAATGGTTTTTTTTTTTCAGTTATGAAGAACCTTTTTTTATTATTCCTGCCCCAAGGTAGCTACCGCGAAAACCCCAAATATTAGAGAGCTTAAGTTTCTCGTTTACGGCAAACGTGAACCGTCAGTTGACCACTAAAAAATTCTTTAAAATTAGTGAAAAGGAATCGCAAAAATCTCCAAGTAGTAGATAAACAAAAGAATACTTGTCTTTTTCGAGAAGGTTTGCAAAAGGTAAAATGAAATGTAGGGGAACGATGAAAACGTGGTCACGTTTGCCGTTTGCGGGAAGGAAAAACGGGAATCTTAATCTGCCTATTGAAACAGTGTGGATATAACAAGCCCTCCCCCACAATATTTTAAAGATTTTTCTGTTAAGGCCGGTTTAGACGGTACGATTTTCGCCTACAACTATCGTATACGACACGCTTCCGCCATCCTACAACTCGAGTCGTAGCGTGTAAATCAAGCCTACAACTCGCCTACGACAGACGCGAGCGTGTTGTATACGATAGTTGTAGGCGAAAATCGTACCGTCTAAACCGGCCTT